GTGTCGCAAAGGGGCGTGGTCACAACGGGGCGTGATCGCTGCTCCCTCTGTCACGCCCACCAGTGGAAGGAAGGGCCCCTGGGAGGGTAACCAAGAGATTCACACGGGCTCACGAGGATTTGGTAGCCCCACAAATCCCTGGTCCCTGGGGCACCCCGTTTGCAGACGAGAGTTGGCAACCAGACAGAACAGTTCTTGAGGCTGCACACCTGGCCCAGGGGGAGGGCCCCGGGGCCAGGTGCAGCCAGCCCGGGGCAGGTGGAGGGACTGCAGGAAGCTGGGCCAGGCTCCAGCGCAGGGCGGAGCCTCCCAGGGAAGGGCCGTGGCCTGTTCCTCGCTTACTCATTCATCTAGTTTGCACCATTGTGTGGCCTGGGTGGGGGTCACGGTACCAGGGGAGCCGGCTAAGACCAAACACACAGCCCTGCCCTCAGGGGGGCTCAGAAGGGGTCGGCAAGGTAAGGGAGAGGCGAGATCAGATCAGGACTGTGGAACAAGGGCTTCGTATCCCCCTCTCCCTGCCTTGAGAAGCCACTGGAGGATTCTGAGCCTGCGAGAGACATGGTTGGACTTGCATTTTAAAAGGATGGTTTGGGCTTCAGCGTGGAAAACAGGCTGAAGAGGAACGAGAGGGTGAGGCCTGGAGAAGGTCAGCTCATGCAGAGGAGCAGGGACGGCAGCTGGCCCCCGGGTCCCAGGAGACCAGGGGAAGGGGCTGTGTTTCCCATGTGTTTCAAGCTAGAGCTGACAAGACTCGCTGGTCTGGATGAGGATACGAGAGAGACAGGAGTCGAGGACACTTCCAAGCATTTTGACCTGAGAAAATGAAAGCAAGGTGTTTCCATTTGCTGTGGGAGGGCAGGTTAGAGGTTAGCAGGTGGAGGACACACTGTTGGGACCGGTTAAGTGTCAGGAGCCACGAGCTGTCCACCGGAGATGCTGGGGAGGCCTGGAATGCAGGTGGATGGGGCTGGCTAGAGACAGGCGTCTTTTGGGGGACAGTGTCCCTGGAAAGCTGGTTCTCAGCCCCATGGAAGGAAGAGACCATCCATGGAGAGCTGCGGACAGACAGAAGAAGCAGAGTAGGACCAGCCCTGGAGCAGGTCCAGGTTAACAGGGAGACAGGAGCAAGAGGAAAAGTGGGAGGTCAAGAGAAGGGCATATTCAGGGCTGAGAGAGTGACCAGCTGTGCCCATTGCTGCTGGCGAGTAGACCAAGGGTAACCTCTGGGGACAGCCACATAGCAGTCAGCACTGACTTTGGCAAAGGCTGTTTGGGTGCAGTGGCCAAGAGATCACTGATTGCAGTGGGCTCAGGAGATCACAGGAGGAGAGGAGTCGTGGAGAGACCACCCTGATGATGGAGTGTCCTAGAAAAGGGTCAGATAAACAGGGTGGAAGTTGGGGGATTTGGGGGTCAAGGGTGGTGTTTTTTTTTAAATGTGGGAGACATTCCAGCATGTTTGTTGCCTGCTGATAAAGATGATCCAGGAGAGGGGACGTGGGTGACACGGTGCTGCAGAGAAGCCAGAGAAGGGAAATGGAGGTGAAAAGATGCAAAGGCCCCTCACCAGTTCCATGCTTGGGGGCCGGAGCACTAAAGGCAGCACGCTGGACTCCACTGGGACCAGGATTTATCCGGCAAATAGGTGGAGGGAAAGGGCAGGGGGCTGAAGGTGGATGCAACCAAGGGATTCATCTGTAACCTGAGGAGAGGAGAGGTGACGGGGGGAGGGGAAAGACAAGGCAAAGGGGGTCACAGGTTGCCGGGCAAGGAATGATCAGGTTCAAGGTCACAGAGAGAGTGTGTCGAAAGACAGAAGGTGGGAAATACAGGAGTTGTCGTAGAAAGAGAGGCTGGAAGTGGGGACTCCAGGTGGGGGGAGGCTGTCCCTGGAGAAGCCAAGATTCAGGTGTGGCCTTGGAAGTGGCCGCTGGTGGGGGGGGTGGGGTGGTGAAAGGTCTTTGGAGGAGAAGATTTCAGGGAACTGAGATGTGAGGCCAGGTAAGGGGAGGATGAGGACAGAGGGAGCCCTGTGGCAGCCCTGCTTATCATGGAGGTCTATGTCTTTTCATGGTGGAGTCGCAAATGTTCCAGGGGGCCTGGCTCCAGCATCAGGGCAGAGGGCTGCCTGCAGCTTCTGTGCAGACCACCCTCTGTCCCACTACATGAGGATATCTCTTGATGGTGGCTTCTGGCAAAGGCAATCTTCAAAGTTTTGTTTTTTTTTCAAGTGTGAAATACATAAAACTCAACGTTTACCATCTTCATCATTTTCAAGTGGCATTAAGCACATTCATGTTGTTGAGCCACCCATCTCCAGAACTATGTTCATCTTCCCCAACCTAATCTCTGTTAAACAATGACTCCCCACTCCCTCCTTCCCCAACCCCGTGGCAACCACACATGCTACTTTCTGACTCCATGATCTTTTTCTATTGTTATTATTTTTTGGCCACACCACCTGGCGTGTGGGATCTTAGTTCCCTTACCAGGGATCGAACCCATGCCCCTTGCATTGGAAGGGTGGAGTCTTAACCACTGGACCAAGGAAGTCCTCTGACTCTACGACCGTGAGACCTCATTTAAGTGGAGTTGGGTTTCCTTAGTGGCTCAGCAGTGAAGAACCCACCTGCAGTGCAGGAGTTGCGAGAGACACTTGTTCAGTTCCTGGGTCGGAAAGATCCCCTGGAGGAGGGCATGGCAACCCAATCCAGCATTCTTATTTGGAGAATCCCATGGAGAGAGGAGCCTGGCGGGCTATAGTCTATGGGGTCACAAATGGTCAGACATGACTAAGTGACTAACATACACAGACATAAGTGAAGTCATACAGTTTTTGTCTTTTTGTGGTTGGCATATTTTACTTAGTATAATATTAGTATAATGTTGTAGCAGGTGTTCAGAATTCCTTTTTAAGGCTGAATAATATCTCATTGTATGGATAAACCAGATTTTGTTAATCACTCATCTGTCTATGGACATTTGGGTTGCTTTAACCTCCTGGCTACTGGGAATGATGCTGCTATGAACATAGGTGTACAAATATCTCTTCAAGTCCCTACTTTCAATTCTTTGGGATATACACCCAGAAGTAGGATTGCTAGATCATATGATAATTTGTACGTCTAGCTATTTGAGGAACCACCATATTGTTTCCCACATCAGTTGCACAATTTTACGTTACTACCAGCAGAGCACAAGGGTTTCAAGGTATCCATATTCTCTCCAACCCCTTATTTCCTGTTGTTTTTTTCTTCTTTTTATGTTGGCCATCTGACATCAAAGTTCGTTGACAAACATCATCTCATTTGGCGAGGTAAGAACATCCCTGGTAGAAGGAACAGCATGAGTGGAACAGGAGTCTGGAAGCTACGTGGGGTTGAGGCAGAAACAGTAAGTGACAGACATGTCTGGTTGAAGCGCAGGAGTGTCGTCGGAGCCGAGGCTGGAAATGTGGCTGGGTGAGGCTGACCTCAGAGAGCCTGTCAGAGGTCACAGAAGGAGCCTGGACATCACTTGGGAGGCAAGGAGGAGCCCCTGCTGAGCTATGAGCAGCGGGTGATAAGACCGCAGACGGCAGCACTGATTCACCCTTGGGTGAGGGGCGCCGGCTGGCCGGAGCAGAAGAAACAGGGAGCTGGGAAGCCAGATGAGACAGACTTAGAACATTCTGGAAGAGAAGAGAGGGCGCTGCTGAGAGACACCCACCACCATCAACTCCCACCGCTGTGAAGCCTCACGTGGACCCAAACCCAAGGCCAACAAAGCCCTTTACATCCGTCATCTCCATCTGGTGGATACATGGTTACCCCAGTGGATGGGTGAGGAGACAGAGACTCAGAGAGTGTAAGTAACTTGCCCAAGACCTCGAAGCTAATAAGTAGCAGAGCTGGGACTCAAACTCCAGTCTGTTTTCCATCATTCCTCAAGCATTTATTGTGCCAGGCCCCACACTGAGGGCTGTCTGACACTAAATCCATTGCTCTTAGCAGCGAGGCTACACCAGCTCATACGGTGGTCAACCTCCAAGCCATGATGCAGGAAGGTAACTCATAAGTGCATGGAGGAACCGGAGAACAATTAGAAATTGGAGACGGTGGCTAAACCATGTGGTCTATTCGATCACACACATTCAGACTCACCCAACACAGAATCTTCTGGGCCTGGAAAGGTTGATGGCCAACACGAGAGGGGAAGAGGGAAAGGAGAGTCCCAGGAAATTTCAGACCATCCGCAGCCCCCTCATTCAGCCAAGAACCTGATCGTCACCCAGTGATGGGAGTCCACAAAAAAAGGAGAGCTTGGGAAGGCTTCAGTCACAGGCAATTGCAATTCTTGGAGGTCAAAACCGACCACATTTTGTTGGATGCTCACATGGTCCAATCTAATACAGACGCTGTCGTGTCACTTTCGCTGCTTTTCATTCCTTCACCCAACACTGGGTGGGGTCCTATCAAATGCCAACAGTGGGAACACAGGAACAAAGCATGTGTGGCTCCTGTCCCCCTGAAGCTGTGGTCTGCTGCGGGTCACAGAAAGAAGACACACAGTCACAAGTGTAACAGGTGATGGCAGCGTGTCATAGGGGATTACCTGTCTGGGGGATTGGGAACAGCTTCCCCAGTAACGTGTAGTCCAAGCTGAGAACCACAGCATGAGCTGGAAATGCCCCAGCACATGGGGTAGGAGGAAGGTGTCCCAAAAGAAGAAATCAAGGGCCAGAAGGCTTTGGAGGAAAAGACAGGGAAGTCTGGCCAGGATTTACTATGGGAGTAACAGGCTGCCAGATAAAGGGAGACCAGGGTTTTCTTCTGTTTAGACTTTCAAAGGTCAAGCCAAATACAGCTTACCATCAAAAACATTTTAACAGGCGTAGGATCTTTGAAATGTTTCCTGCTGTGTTCTCCCTTTTGCTAATTCAGTATTTTTTTTCCTCTTCTCTCTCGAATTGCCACCACCATGAAACTTAAACCATGAGGCTTTTGTCCCATGACGGAATGCGGGATAACATCTGCAGCACAGAGATTTGTTGCCAGACAGTGCGGGCGAATGGAAGGCCCTTTCAGGGCAGGAGGAAATGGTCGGAGGGTCCTAGGGCAGCAGAACGATTCAGGTAGGTTTAGGGGATGGGAAGGGCTTCCCTGGTGACTCAGATAGTAAAGAATCTGCCCGCATTGTGGGAGAGCTGAGTTCGATCCCTGGGGCAGGAAGATCCCCTGGAGAAGGAAATGGCAACCCACTCCAGCATTCTTGCCTGGAAAATCCCATGGATGGAGGAGCCTGGCGGGCTACAGTCCATGGGGTCCCAAAGAGTCGGACACGACTGAGCGACTTCACTTTCACTTTCAGGGGATGTGCGGACACCCAAGGTGGTGCCTGTGTTCCCCCCCAGGGATGTGTCCATGTTGGGCCTGATGCTGCAGCCCACAGGGCCAGGATGCCGGATAGAGGAAACGGCTGTGGGTCCCCAGGCAGGTGAGACTGAGGACAGTCTCATAGTAGGGACTCTCGCTGCCACACCGAGCCGAGGGAGCCCTGAGGATCCAGGGAGGCTGTTACAATTGAATTGTATTCCCCAGAAAGCTATGTTGAGGTCCTAACCACCCCGGCCCTGTACTTGTGAATGTGAATTATTTGAAATGGGCTCTTGAAAGATGTCACTGAGTTAAGATGAGGACATTAGGTGGGTATCCTCATATGACCAACGTCCTTATGAGAAGAGGAGGAGACGCACGCAGAGATGGGAGTGATATGGCTACAAGCCTGGGGCTGCCAGCAGTGGGCAGAGGCGACGAAGGATCCCCCCGTAGAGGCTTCATGGCACAGACAGCACCTTGATCTCAGACTTCTAGACTCCAGAATAAGTAAATATCTGCTGTTTGAAGTCACCCAGTTTGCAACAGCCCTAGTAAACCAACACGGAGAAGAAGAGGCTTAACTCAGAGATGAGAAGTATGGTCCATAAAGCAAGGTCCACAGTCACCATCATCAGCAAGATGCCCAAAGGCCAGTGCATACGAAACCAGTCACACCTGAGCAGGTGCAGTGAGAGCAAGCAGGACAAGACACTGCTTCCTCAACCCCTTTAGATGACATAAGCTTCTCCCTGCAGCCAGACACCACCTACAAAAGAAAACGGCAAGGAGACACGCTGGGGACAGAGGAACCGCCCTCACAAGGAGTCAGGGCTTTGAATTGACCAGATATTTACCTGGAAGAGGCTGTTTGACAAAGGAAGAGACTGACTTTCAGTTTTGTCACCCCACCTCCTCCACTGCCACAAAGTAGGCAGACAAGGGGACACAAAGGCAAAATGAGGTCAATTCTAGAAAAATCAAGATTTTCACACACATTGATCCTAGAATGTACGTTTCATCCCACTACACTCGTTTTTACATATAATGTCAATGGAATTGGGGCACCTCCTTAAGCCCAGGTAAAGGAGGAGCTCAGACAGGAAACAGAGGTGAATGAATGGGAACATATCCAGATCTGGTGACCTAATATATCATGAGGATGTTCACTGGAGCATGACTTATAAAAGCAAAATGTTGGAAGCAACCTAAATATCCAGCCATATGGGACTGAGAAATAAATAATTATAAGGGACTACCATTAAAATCTAGCTATCCAAAACTGCTTAATAATATGAAAGAAGATTATAGTAAATGGTAAGTAATAATAATTTGTTTTTCATTCGCTCAGTCGTGTCCAACTCTTTGCGACCTCATGGACTGCAGCACGCCAGGCTTCCCTCTCCTTCACCATCTCCCAGAGTTTCCTCAAACTCAAGTTCATTGAGTTGGTGAGGCCATCTAACCATCTCATCCTGTCATCCCCTTCTCTTATAATAATAATAATAGTAATAATAAATACAAATCAGCTTAAAACTGCATCCACAGTACGATTCCAGTATTTATGTGATGGTGCTGTCTCAGGCCTTAACGAACAATGCCCAGAGTCCAGTGACAACACAGCCAAGGTTCATTCACCTTCATGGAACGATCAGGGGAGGGGGATCTCTATCCCACTGAGTCACTTCGGAACACAAGAGCCTTCTGACAATGATCTAGCTGCCCTCTAGGGTCCTGGAGTCCTTCACCGAGCACTTCCCACTTCCCATCCCATGAGCAGCAAGAGGAGAGAGCATGGAAGATCAGAAGAGCTTATGGGTCAGGTATGGGTGTGTGTGTGTGTGTGTGTGTGTGTGTGTGTGTGTGTGTGTGAGATCACTCCCTCCCACCTTCCATTGGTCAGAACTCAATCACATCCCCACCTGCAGGGGAGGCTGCGAAATGTAGTCTAGTTGCCTGCCAGGAAGAGAAAGGAAACAGGATTTGCTGAACACATTACATCTGCCACTGTTAATATGCATTGAAAAAACTACTGCAAAGAAATCACATTCTAACAGTAATTATTTCTTGGTGGTGAAATTAAAGCCATTTAAAATTTTTTTCTTATTTATGTGACTTTGAATTTTCTAATTTTCTGAAATAAACAATCAGTACTTCTACAGACAAGAGGGAAAAAATGTAACTTAATAATTGACAAAATTAAAGTCCCCAGGCTTCCTGTGGGATTTGGACAGACTTGTTCAGCAGTCAGGCTTCAGGTCAGACTTACAGGTTATATGATGCAAGGAAAGTTACATCACCTTCCTAAGTCTTAAAGTCTCCATATCTGTAAAACGGACAATGAAAATGTATGTCGCATAGAGTTGATGGGTGAGATACCATTCATGTGGTGCCTGACATGGGGTAAGTCTGCAGCTGACAAATAGCAGCCTTTTTTCTTTCTGCACCCACGCTGCACTTCCCCATGTCCGCTCACTCCTCCTCTGTGCTTGGTCACTCCCCAGACCGTGTCAGCATCACCTCCTCTCTGACTCTCTCACCTACAACCCTGTTCTGTTTCAGAGGGACATGAGAAGAATATCCAGGGAGCTTCCCCGGTGGCTCAGTGATAAAGAATCCGCCTGCCAGCGTGGGAGACGTGGATTTGATCCCTGATCTGGAAAGATCCCACAGGCCGAGGGATCACCAAGCGCCTGAGCCACAATACTGAGCCTGTGCTCTAGAGCCCAGGAGCGGCAACTACCGAGGCCACGAACTGCAACTCCTGAAGCCCAGGGGGCCTAGAGCCTGTGCTCTTCAACAGGAGAGACCACCACAGTGAGAAGTCCAAGCACCGCAGTGGAGGGTACCCGCTGCTTGCCGCAACTAGAGGAAGCCTGCTCACAGCAGCAACAACCCAGCAGAGCCAAAAATAAATACTAATACAATTATTTTTTAAAAAAAGAATATCCAGGGACTGCCACCACCACCCCGACCCCTGGCACCTGACCCCTCCTGCTTCCAGAGGTGCCCAGCCCTGCCCGGGTCACCAAGTCCCACCCCCTGCCCTCTGCACATGCCCCAGCCACGCCCCCTTTCCTCCGCCTTCATCAATTTCCCCTCCCTGCTGGATAATCCTCACTCGCATTCAAAGGAGCCAGTAACTACTCTCATCTTTACAAAACCTCTGACTGCATGTCTCTCTCCAGCTATCACCCCATTTCTCAGCTCCCTTTTATTACAAAATTTATCAAAAGCGTTATCTGCCTGCTCTGCCTGCTGCTTCTCATCCCAGCCTCTCCAAACCTGCTGCCAACAGGCTTCTCTCCTCCCCCTCCACCAATACCGATCTGGCCCAGGTCACCAGTGTCCTCTCGGTTGCTAATCCCCAGGGCCCGTTGCCTTCCACCTCCTGTTTGACCGGAAGGAGCCCTGGCGCTGACCATCACTCCCCCTTGGCGCTGAAGGCACATTCTCCTGATTTCCCTCCGCCTCCCCACCACTCCTCAACTTTCTTTGCTGTTGTATTCTTTGCCTCTTAATATTGGGATGACCAAGACTCAGTCTTCCGACTCCAATAATAGGTTGAATTGTGTCCCTCCCCGCCCCGCTCCGCAAGATATATGTTGGTGTGTGTTAAAGTGAAAGTGTTATTTGCTCAGTCGGATCCGACTGTTTGCAAACCCATGAACTGTATAGCCTGTCAGGCTCCTCTGTCCATGGAATCCAACAGGCAAGAATACTGAGTGGATTGCCATTTCCTTCTCCAGGGGATCTTCCCCACCCAGGCATCGAACCCAGGTCTCTTGCATTGCAGGCAGATTCTTTACCGTCTGAACCACCAGAAAAGCCCTTGTTGTTCCATTGCTCAGTCGTGTCTGACTCTTGCACGGAGTCTTGCACTCTGGACTGCAGCACGCCAGGCTTCCCTGTCCTTCGCTATCTCCTGGAGCTTGCTCAAACTCATGTCCATTGGATGGTGACGCCATCCAACCATGTCATCCTCTGTCATCCCCTTCTCCTTCTGCCTTCAGTCTTTCCCAGCGTGATAACACCTTTATTAAGGAAGGAGATCCTGACTCATGCTACAACGTGGATGCACCTTAAGGACATGAAGCTAAGTGAAATAAGCCAGTTATAAGAGGACAAATACTGTGTAATTCTGCTTCTGTAAGGAACCTACAGCAGTCAGATTCATAGAGACAGACAGTAGAATAGTGGTTGCCAGGGATTGGGGGAGGGGCGAATGGGGACAGAATTTCAGTTTTTGCAAAATGAAAAGAGTTCTGGGAATGGATGTTGGGATGGTTGCATAAAAACATGACTGTGCTTAATGCCACAAAACTATACACTTCATTTTTAAATTTTTGGCTGCGTTGGGTCTTCGCTCCTGTGTGCGGGCTTTCCTCTCGCTGTGGCAAGCAGGGGCTATGCTCTAGCTGCAGTGTGCAGGCTTCCTGTTGCAGTGGCTTCTCCTGTTGTGGAGCACCGGCTCTAGGGCGCATGGATTCCGAAGTCATGACACATAGGTTTAGTTGCTCCCCAGCATGTGGGACCTTCCTGACCAGGGATCAAAACAGTGTCCCCATTTCAAGATGGATTCTTAACCACTGGACCACCAGGGAACCCCAGAACTGTACACTTTAAATGGAGTGTACAGTTTTATAATCTAGAAAAATATTGAGTCATTATGCTGGTCACTAATATGATACCGTAAATCGATTATACTTCAATTTAAAAAAAAAGAAGTCTACACTTAAAAACGGTTAGGATGGTAAGT